TAACTGGGTGTTTTTTTTATTCACGAAATTGGATTAGCAACTAACGTTAAGATGCGCATCAGAGGGGATTTAGAAGTGGGTATACGCAATGCCGACTGAAAAGGAAGTGGGTATACGCCGTATACCTGCGTATACCCTGCACTACACCACTGAATATAATGGTGTGCTTGTGCATGTCTTTTCACTGTGTAAGCTGACAGATGAAGATATGCATTTCTTTCTCATGGTGCAATTGTGATGTCTTTGTGACATTTTCATAAAAGACAACAAATGAGCGGGGGGGGGGAAAGAGATAAAGAAGCTGATGCCCTTAATCCACTTTTAATGCCTGTACTGTTGTTTTGCTCAGAAAAGCTGTGTTAGCCTGATAAACTACACTCACAGGGGATGTTTGGCATTGAAGAAAATGGCACAAATTTTCATCATCATCTCTGATTTCTTTTAAAGTAAAGTCATCATATGCAGTTTTGGACACACATGTTGAACATATGAAGATTCATGATTTTAGAAATCTCAGGTCAACCAGCAGTCTACAGCTGACTGTTCCGAGGACATTTGTCTAAAATTAAAAGGAGATTGTGCCTTTTCTGTGGCCGCTCCACAGCTTTGGAACAATCTGCCATCTTATATGTTGCCAGTAAACAAAACAAATCAATTGACACTGAACCATGAACCACTTTATCTATTAAGTCAATCAATTGTTTAAATGTTCTTTGTTAAGATCTTCAATGCTTTAAACTGAATAGTTCAACAAGTAACAGGTGATAATTTATCACTCAACCACACTACTCAAATTCCCCACATGGGGTCACTGTAATGATTTAACCAAATAAAGAGTATAAACTCAAAATGAATAATTAACAAACAAATATCTTAACTGATAATTCAGTAAAGCCTCATAAAGTGTCAATTTCTCAATGTCAAATCTTAACGAATGTTAGGGCACACTTTCAGAGTGAAACAATACACTTTGGAAGCAAACACAAACACGGGAGTGGCTAACAAACACAAAACCCCTGTTCGCATTTTCATCATGTGCTTTCAAACACCATTTCACAAGAATCAAATATAACATACACATGATATTATAAACGTTATTCACATTTGTTATGCACTTTACATTGACTTACCGAACTCTTTTATAGAGACTTCAAAATGCAGTCACGTGCATCAAACATCTTCGACCATCTCGAACTAACCGCAAAATACACATACACAAGATGAAACAAACACATCCTGTTACATTAGACTAAATGATGATCATCACATTTACTCACATAGAGCATCAATTAAAACAAGGATGATACTCGACACACGACTGGATAAATCTCATGCACTGCTGTTTGCCGTTTCTCTCTGCATTGCCCGCTATTGACACGTCATCATCAGCGCTCAAATTTCTTAAAGGGGAAGTACTTTTCTACAAGTTCAAACACCACCCGGCTACACATAAAGGCTGCATTTACACTGCAGGTCTTGATGCCCAAATCCGATTTTCTGACTACATCCGTTTTTTTTTTTTTTTTTTTTTTTTTTGACGACCTGCTTACATCATCTTTTAAAAGTGACCCATATCCGATTTTTGCATTCACACTGAAACTACCAAATGCAGACGTTTTAATGGTTCTGATCCGAGAAATTAAGCAAAACAACACGAAATTCAATGGATGGCGATGCGAATAAAATTATCCAGTGTTTTCTTTCCACAATATTTCAATAAGTCATCAAAACATTGGTCTCGTGCATGAGCCCATTGACTTTTAACAGACCCCCTAAAGATTATGGGTTTAGTGGAGGTTAAATGAGAATGAATGGGGAAAAGAAAAATGCCTTTATCGCAAATGTGATTGGTTGACTATGATGTGTTCGCACATCCATCTGAATGAACAAAATGATGGCATAAATGGAAAGACTAGTAAAAAAGTCAGTAAAGTAAACAGCTCAGGCACTAAGATATGACCACTTGATGTCATGTCAAAATTATACTTAAAATTACCTAAAACATGATGACTGTGGAGTTTTTTGTGTGCAATCAGCTTGGTGAAATTAAAGGTATTCTCGTCTGTGACCAGTGTTTATCGAGCATGATGACTGATGATCCAAAAATAAGTTGACTATTAAAACGAACAACTGACCATCAGTTCTCAAATAAAATATATTGCTTATTGTTACTCCCTTTAGCTATTATTTTGGGGGAAAATGCTTAAAACATTAACTTAATGAGATTTATAGTTGGTTTAAAAAAATAGATCATTAATTACATTGTTAATGTAAAAATGAAGAGTTCAGATGCAAAAGCCTCTAAGTGCCATTTGAAATTTTCTTCTAAAATGATCATTTTTATCGAGCTTGTATATTTAAGTTCAGTGATTTCACTTAAATGGCAATGAAGATTACCTATTAATTGTCATTTAAGTGAAATTACTGAACTTAAATATACAAGCTTGATAAAAATGGTCATTTTAGAAGAAAATTTCAAATGGCATTTAGAGGCTTTTGCATCTGAACTCTTCAAATACAAAAAGGAATTGTATGTTCCCATTGTTGGAAAAACACCCAGTGAAAATTAAGGTTTGGGATAATTCTGGCTTTGCTCTCAGAAGAACAGAGAAGATAAATTAAACAAAAGAGGCAGCAGAAAGCAAGCTGATTTATTAAGGCTCTTGCCAGGCATCCAAAAAGTCGATCAGCCTGTCCCAACTGTGCAGACCAGCAGGAGTTTTAATTGTGTGTGTGTTTGTGTCTAAAACAATAGACATTAGACAATAGACAATATTTAGAAGTCTGATAATTACACTCCACACAGACAAAAACTACAGTGATTATAGCAGGAAAAATGCTCCTGTGATGGACACAATGAGTGCATATGTGAGTAAATGATGAACATTTAATTGTTCCAGAGATATTGCCATCAAGCGTGCATGTGAAGCGACTAATACAGACTACAGTACACGTACGCTAAATTACTATTCACATCACGTGCGTCAACATACATTAAGAAAGTATCATGGTATAAATTACTGTAATAATGTGCACGTACATGCACGTGTATGTGTAGTTCAGAGAAGAGTGACTTTGTTTGCTTTATTCCAAAATGACACCATGTCACTGCGGGAGTCTGAGGTCATACATGAACAAATTGTTGTTGAAGGCTGTACAACACATTCATAAATGTGTCCCACACGTGTACTGTTGGCCCAGGGGTGTTATTTGACCCCATAAAAATCAGGACCATATTCAATGGAATAAATGCAGAACTACTAAATTGCCAATATTTATTTCTATGGACGATTTCGGCCGGAAACAACTACTTAAAATGTAATCACAGAAACACATGGATAATAATAGGGAACTCGCAGCTGGGGAAAAGGTTGTTTGATAAAAAAGAAAAACAACCATTGTGTTTGTCCATGTGTGTCACATAATGAAAAAAAAAGCACAATTTTCAAAGGCACCCATTTTCTGAAGGAAACTTTAAAAGCTCAATTCATATTGAAGGTTGTCACAAAGCTTGTCAAATCACACCTCCATATTCTGTGATGTGTCACTAAAGAATAATTTAAAATATGAGATGGGAAAATGAAAACTAAGATGAACCATTATTTTCACAATATTTTAATATGTCATTAGTCAAATTGTTATAATAATTACATTCAAATTTTATTTTCAGTCTATCCCTAAATTTTTCAAATTTTCAAAATTTATCAAAATCAAAATTTATCAAAAATATTTAATTGTTCAACATACATAAAATAGGGTTTTCACAATTTGTTAAGTTGCCCATGTTCTGTTGCAGCTTCTAACAATTACTGAATAATTTAACCTTAATGAATATTAATTTAATGAGGAAGTCAGAACACAGGTCACAAGGCCATATGCAAAAGGTAATTAAAGGGTTAGTTCGGTATTTTACACTTAAAGCCCTGTTTTAAGATAGTGCCAAATAAAAAAAAAAGCTGCAAAAGATGCTTTCCAACAGGTTTTAAGTATATTTTGCAGCCATTTTTGTGCGAGCATATCAGTGTAAACTGAAGTTTAATGAGTTTTATGAATGATTGTTCCAGTGCACATAGACAACCATTGTGGAGGTGGGTGGATGCTAACACAAAAACTCAGATTGTGTTCGGCTGAAAGAAGAAAGTCATTTACACTTAGGGTGAGTAAATTATTGGATAGTTTTATATTTTGGGTGAACTATTCCTTTAAGAATCACTGCTTTAAAGGAAACAAGTTGCATGTGGCTCAGAGTGAAGAGAGAAACGAAGGTGATAAGAAAGCAATGAAACAATTAAAATCAAATAGCTAAAAGAGCTGAATGCAGCCCTTTTTATTCCCTAAAGGTTCCTTTTCTTCACTCCTATTTGATTGTCAATCAGTGGACAGTTCACTTCTGCTACAGATGTTTCCAGTCAGCAGCTCCTAGTAAGTGGCCAATTACTCTGGGTTTTCAGGATTGAAGGACCATCTCTTCTATTACCCATGTTACTGAATCTCTAAATCACAGTAATCATAATTACTAAACAAATGAACTAATTCTTAAACAGCATGCTCAATCAGCAAAATATTTATATCATTTACTTAATGCTACTTGTTGGCGTGGAAGTGCTTTCCTACAGTCACAATAATATTAATAATAATTAATATTAATAATAATTTGTCAGTGTGGTTATATTATATGTATATATATATATATAATATATATATATATATATATATATATATATATATATATATATATATATATATATTTACCTAGTATCTTGAATATGTGGTGCAGGCATTATTAATTCACAGATGGTTCCTTTCAGATTTTCCAATAGGATTTTATAATGGGGGTTTTCGATTTATGTGTAAAAAGATTGTGGCAAACATAACCAATACTTTGTGACGTTTAGTTGAACAACATAAATTACCCGCATCTATATCGAGAGCTTTGATGAAACTGCCATATCTTCCCATGCTTTTCTTCTTGGAATCTCCAGTTTAGCGTAATCGTAGACATGGATAAAAAACAATTTCAGAGGATAAAGTTATTCAAGAACTTTCAGAGTGAAGAGCCGAGAGGTAATAAAATAATATTTTTTGAATAAATTAATTAATATTTGCTGATCAAATGCAACAATCAGTGTTCAAAAGCATGTCCTTGTATGTTTGCTATCATAATTTTGTGTGCATATAAATAAAAGCAAATGGAACAGACATTTTAAAGGGATCGCACTATAATTCAGCAAAAAGAAAGAGAGAGAGAGAGTGTGTGTGTGAAAGAGAGAGAGCGAGAGAGATGGAGTGAAGGACACAGAAGTTGATCGCTCGCTGCCATGTCTCATCCCATCAGTCAGTCTAAATGCAGTTCTTTGAAGGCTGGTGAGTTGTTAGGCTCCCTCAGGATACTGCAAACACAGATCCAAAGCAGCCGTGTGTAAAACACAGATCAGGTGCAACAAATTACACAGCTCTGAGCCTAAAAGAAGTAGTTCACTCAAACATTATGTAGTCATTTACTTACCATTCAAAAATTATTATTTTTTTTTCAAAAATTACTCACTAAAAATAAAATGTAGTGGCCAGTAAAACACATACATACATAAATTATATTTTATAGTATATTTAATCGTGTGCTTAATGTGGTAACATCAACATTAATTGATTTTATTTAAGTCAAACATTATTTAACATCTCTGAATCAAACCCTAGCTGAACTATTTCTTAAAGGGGTGGTATATTAGCCTGGCTGCGCCCGCCTACGCACTTCCGCTCAATTTCATTTTCCTTCAGTACTGCGTCTGGGACCGCTCCATATCCTTAGGTTTCCAGAAATCAATTTTTTGTAGGACCAATCAGCGAATAGAGGGAGTGGCTGAGAACGATGACGTTGATGTAGTGCGTCAGTTTGAGTGCAGTAATGGCAGCGGAGAAAGACGTGAGAAAAGCTATTCGGTCCGTTGTTGGAAAAGAAACTGCCGAATATACAGAATTTAAAGCCGGATTGTTGTCGTCTCACCTCTTGTTGCACAACGGAGGACCAAGTGAAGGAGGCAGAAAGTTTGGAAGTTTGTGCTGGGCAGCTCGTGCACAATGACCGTGACATTTTGGACTTTAGCCTGGTGTTCGCGGTGTTCGGAAGCCCCGAGTCCTGGCTGCTAAACTATTGTTGAAGATCCGCTCAGGAGTCATGTCAGTCGCTCAGATTCCCAACAGTAAATTTACTGATTCTTGTGATGAATAGAACATTTTGAGCCCCTTTGTGTACTCGTACAGGAGGTTGGTGTGTCAGTTTTACATGTTGTAAATCATACAAATTGGTTGTGATTTAAAAAAAAAATTGTCATAAATAAAAATTTGAAAACCCATACTTTGGAGACTATATTTGATTTTCAGTTTTAGATGTCAATGGTTCATTTGTTTTAATAAAAAAACAACTAAATGCCATATAAAAATGTACAAACACATACTTTGAAGACCATAATTAAGGTAATTAAGAAACAAAAATACGTAATATGAAAAATTGTTGTTTATTACACATCTGCAGACAGACTGATCATTCACTGTAACTTACAGCATTGACTGAATAATCACTGTCCTTCATGTCAAATATACATTTCGAATTAATAATTGTTCCTAGATTAACAAAACCTGCAGCTCTCGTTGACTGAAATCCTATTGTAAATTTAATCCTCTGATCATTCGGAGTTCGGACTTGTTGTTTCTTTTACTGTCTATGGTTGTTTCCAGCCGTTTCGGCGCATGACATACGTCACTCACGACCACACATTAGCGATTGGCTATGGCAGATCGTGAGTGACTCTGGGCAGATCCAATAGATTTGAACTTTAATAGTGAACCCGCCTACAAGGAAGGAAACGTTTCTCAATTGAGGGAGGCCAGACTCTCTGTACAAATGAAATGTATGTACGAGAGTCTGGTAGAACCAGGCTAGTGGTATATGCCCCTTTCACAAGATTTCAAATAAATCTCTAATGTCCCAGAGTGTGTATGTGAAGGTTTAGCTCAAAATACCCCATGGATATTTTTATATAGCATAAGAATATCCTGTAAGTTTCAGAACTGAAAACGTCCTTGTTAGTCCAATAAAAGCCTTTATTGACACCAGCCTCTTCAAACGACTCTTTTTTTCAAAGTGGGGAACTATAACGTCAAAGAGGATAAAACACCACACCCGCAGAAGAAGATCAATGCCTACTTCAACACGGCCGGTTGAGCCCCACCCACCGATTCATGCATTACATGCATAGCTAACTATCATAGATGCCTACCTCGTGATGACAAACCGGATCGATCTACTGAGCGATACAGAATATCGTGCAGTGCCTGATAGTGGAAGAAGACAGTGGCTGCATATGCTTCCTCTGGATTCCAATAGGACTGCATGGATAAATTTTATTTTAAATGACGTTCCAGCTGATGTGGTAAAACATCATCCATCTGTCGCTTAATTTCACTGAGGAATGTTTTGTAAACAAGACTGGATTTTCAGACCGATTAAGAGTAAAGAACGGTGCTGTGCCATCTAAATTGGATCTGACAGGAATTGTGCAACACACGGACTCTGAGTCAAATCATTCCGATTGCCTTTTTACAACATTGAACGTTTTCAAAACAATTTCCCTCATGTGCGCCGACGAGTGAGTCGAAACTCATTATAATATGCAAAACTGTTATCCACTCACAGCAGTGGGCGTTAACTTCCAAGTCTTCAGTGTGAGACGCCCATAAAAACCGAGCGTTTTTCAGGTAGGCTAAAAACTAGGGTAAAAAATAGCCTATTACTTATTCATTTTGATGTTTTTGAATGCAAAAACCAATCAAACGTCATAAGTTGACCTCAGACAACAATATAATAAAATGTAAAAAGCCAGTTCATGACCCCTTTAAATGCACATGAGCTGCAGCTCCCGATACAGTGGGCGGAGCTTCAAGAGTTAGCAGCTCCGATTACCCCACGCAGACACATGCTAAAATGTGAGAAACTGTTTTGCCTTTTATGTTTAGAGTCAGACAAAGATGAAGAGACTAAGAAGAAGTGACAACATGTAGAATGCAACAGGACATATCTGAATGGTTAGTTGATGAATTTATGTTGCTGATGTGGAGTTAACTATCTTCAGTTAGCATATTCTGTCAGGATAATCTAAAAT